GCTGAGGCAGGGCAAAAGAAAAATGGGTCATCCATATACGCACTTAAAAGATCATCAGAAGAGCAGTCTCCAGTGAGCTGGTATTAATCTTAAGGAACTCAAGCAAATGGCTCAGAACAGGAATCACTGGCGCTCTCTGACAAGATCAGCATGTAACAAGTTTGAGCGGAATCAATGAAATCGTTTCCAGGCTGCATGTGAAAGGTGCCTCAAAGCTGCATCATCAAACATCATAGATATGGACTTCCCATGTCCTCAGTGAGGCCAGCTCTGCATCAGGGTTCGGACATCAGAGTCATATGCATAGTTATAGATGAGAATTGTGACAATATCATCATCATCGTCAGCGATGGACTACCAACCAACGTTTTTGTGTACCAAATGGAATCTATACTCATTTTTTAAAGAAAGAGGATAGTATGTTTACTATGTATGTATTCCCTTCATGAGTGTATTTCATTTAAAGTGCCATTGTATAATATCATCTTTCTTTTATTCTCTGTGAAGTAGCTGCAACACTACCAGTGTTAAGTGCATGTATGTATATGCGAGCTAAAACAGACATGAATTTCAAGCCTAAATGAACAAAGGCATTCATATAAAGAATCTCAGGTAGCTGTAGAGATATGGGTTTCTATCTCAATCCCATAGTTATCTAAAAAATACTTTTTTAAATGGAAGTGACAATTCATGTCCTTTGAGACCAGCACTCTGCTCTACATTAGCTGCGCTTTTCAGAATTTGAATTCCCTGTAGTCTCTCTGCTTTCCTCTTGATGCTATAGTATTTTCTGCTCTCTCTTTCCATTTATTTCTCTCTTGTACAAACACAAAATCAGGCAATCTTTTCCACCCCTGTGTCTCACTAATCCAAACCCCAACTATGATTCAAATTCATTAAATTTTTATATTTTTAAAAAATCACTCTATTAGTATATGCCCCCTTTGTATCTAAACTTGTTAACAATAACATGTTGTAACACCAAAGAGTATATCCAGGATTCCACAGTACCATAACAAAGTATCCGAATTAGAGACATGATTCTCAACCGCAGACACTGCATGCAGGACTAAACCCAAACCTTTTCATTTAGGACCAGATTTTTAAATGTTTTTAGGTGGCTACTGGAATTTTCAAAAGCACCTTAGTGCCTAACACACATTGAATTAAATGAGTTTTATACACCTGGATACTTTTGATAATCCTACTAGGCATATAAATATCTTTAAAAATCTGGGCCCTAGTGTCTATAAGGTACCACTCTGTAGCTATATGCTGCTCATTAGAACATACACAAAAAACAGAATGCTACACCAAGAAAGCTATTTTACTTTAAAGGATCTCTACTTGAACAAGGAAAAACAGTTTACTACAAATAAAAATATAAAGTTATCTACTACAAATATTGTAGTGCAGATTTGTATGGAAAGCTCTCCAATATTTCTTATCAATTTACCAGCACACTTTAGGAAAATCAATTTGTGCAGTTTGTCTTCCAAGTATGTCCTAAGCAGTCAAAGCTCAAAATATTACACCTTAGGAGAAAAAGCAGAGAACAAACAAACAAAGAAAAAGTTATAAAAAAAAAACCTGAAAATGTTAGCTACTCTTTACCCGCTGAGAAACGGCAGCACAACTTTTCAACATACTTTTTTATCAAATGTTCCCTCTGTGGAGCAGTATTGAACTATTTGGTGTGTAGAGAACATACCAGAAAAGTAAGCAGTGCTATGTAACCGATGTGGGACTTCAGTAAGAGGCGATCTAACTTATAGATGCATTTTAGAATACTGTGTAGCCCTGTGGGATTTTTACTAACATCATTAGGGCAGCATCATTATTAGTGTTGAAGAAGGAGACGAGGATGCAGGTGGAATATGCCCTAGATATATCTGAGCATGTGGCACTCTCCTCCCATGAATAAGAATAAGAATATTTGGCATTTAGAGAGCCCCTCTGCATTTTCAGATTGCTCTGCAAGCATTACCTACTTAATATTTATAATCCCCTATGAGCCAGGTTATAAATATATAGAGCCAATCCTCAAATAAAACTAAATGCTTGCCAGAATGCATGTGTTTGTAGGTTTTAAAGCCACAAGGGGCCCTTACGGTCATATTGTCTGACCTGCATAACACAGACCATAGAATTTCACTAAATGGTTCCTGTGTCAAACCCATAAGTAAATTGGGGGCTGGAACTGTGCAAAGGTGGCTTTAAATTCACTTCGCTGTCTTCCAGTCCTGCTGTTCCAATTTGCACAAGACTGCAATGGCCACAGGGGCCCAAAAACACAGCTGAGGATTGGTATGATATAGAGCAGTGATTCTCAAACTTTTGTACTTGTGACCCCTTTCACACAGCAAGCCTATGTGTGTGACCCCACCTTATAAATTAAGAACACTTTTTTTATATTTCAGATTATAAATGCTGGAGGCAAAGCGGGGCTTGGGGTGGAGGCTGACAGCTCACGACCCCCCACATAATAACCTTGTGACCTCCTGAGGTGTCACGACCCGCAGTTTGAGAACCCCTGATATAGAGGCACCCTGGCCATACACTGTTTCTTCTGGTTTCTTCTGGTCCTGGCCCCTTTTCCCTGCTCTGCCAGATAAGGGAGGGGAATGGCATTAAAGCCCCTAAGCTAACTCAGTGCTTCCATCCTGATCACTTTACACTTGGATGATCCTTAATGGGTTTGTTAAAACAGCTATAGAACCAGATTATGCAGGCAATGCTAAATGGGCACACCACAGACAATCTTGCCTACATTAATCCCATTTTACAGAAAAGGAAACCAAAAGCTGGCAAAACCGAAAGGTTAAGTGCTTACTCAGGCGCTTCCATTTTCAAGCAAAATTCCCACAGACTTGAATTGGGTTTTTCTTGGATAAGGAGTGAGTAAAGAATGTTGTGCAGGGTCCTAAGCCATTTGTCCAAAGATATACAGCAAGCCTGAGTGAGAACTGAGATTAGAACTCTGGCGTTCCTGGGACCATGCCACTCATGCTACCCTGTTGTAATAGTTAAACTGTAAAATTCAGTAACATTTGTACTTTCACTGTAACCTTTTGACAGTTCTCTCAGTTGCAGTTATTCCTTCCTATTACAAACATATTTGGGGTGAACTTCTGGTTCCATTGAAGTCAATGGTAAAACTCCCAATGACTTCAACAAGGCCAGGATTTCACCCTCTGTCAGACTGTAGAAATAGCAAGGGTGACTTTCATTTTCTTAGGATGTTGCTTATAATCTATCATCAGTTAATACATTATAATAGACAACAAGCATAGCTCCTAAATGTAGCTAGTGATTTTGAATAGTGCAACAATAAATCTAAGACAACAATGCTTTTTCAGAGCCTCTACAAATATGAGGCTGATTAACACTGGCTATGTTATAAAACATATATATATGTTATAAAACACTGCAAATTAATAATTAATGGTATCTGAACTCAATATTTATTTTCTGTTCACACATATACTCATATTTAACACAGATGCCACTAAACTTTTTAATCTGCTTCACTATGTCCTACCCTGCATGTGACTGATTTAGACATTGATTTGCTGTAAAATAATTAACATTAAATCACAGAGTTATTATAATTTGATTTAATTTTTTTTTCTCCATTTGTGGTTTAGGCAGAATATGTGCACTGTTGTCATTTGGAGGGGACATGTAACGTGGCTTGGCATGTTAAAGTATGAAGAGCTCTTTGCTACTTAGGTAGGAATTAGTTTATTTAGTAGTGAAACTGCAATATTTAAATGAGGAGGGTTTTGGGGGGAGGTGGTGGGGGATTGTTTTATTTCTAAATAATTAGATGCATGTGAAAAACATACCCATCACCATTTAAAATGCATTTATGATCTTTTTGCTGTTCAGAATTGTTGCGCAACAGACATTTCACTGTGTGTGTGATAGACGTAAACAAATGCATTGCTACTGTAGTTGCAGGGCAAGTAAACATTGATGTCACTGTTGCTATAATCACATTAGTAGGATCCGTTAATGGTAATGTCCAGACGGATTCACTACCCAGATCAGGAGATCTTTGAGATGCAATTTGAATATGAGTACAACTGAAAATGAGAAAGGAGTCTACTTTAAAACAGGATCTTTGCAACAGATTGCCTTTCAAATAAGAATTCTGTTGTAAGAGTATGGTGTCCCTAGCCTGTGTTTGCCAGAAGCTGGGAATGAGCGACAGGGGATGGATCACTTGATTACCTGTTCTGTTCATCCCCTCTGGGGCACCTGGCACTGGCCACTGTCAGAAGACAGGGCACTGGGCTAGATGGACCTTTGGTCTGACCCAGTGGGACCATTCTTATGTTCTTAAGAGTAATCTTTCTATCACCAACATACAGCGTCAAATCACCTTGAATTGCAGTTGCATTTAACTACACTTGTGTATCTTTTCTTTAAGAACAAATTCAATTTTCTCTTACTCCCCAGCATACACAGACATAGACACACACAGAGAGTCACACTATATCCCAGTCAGAGGGCAAAAAGAAAAGGAGTACTTGTGGCACCTTAGAGACTAACCAATTTATCTGAGCATAAGCTGTGAGCTGTAGCTCACGAAAGCTCATGCTCAAATAAATTGGTTAGTCTCTAAGGTGCCACAAGTACTCCTTTTCTTTTTGCGAATACAGACTAACACGGCTGTTACTCTGAAACCAGTCAGAGGGAATACATACTCTAGTTAGCAGTGTACTGGCATTCCTCAACGCTGTTGGGTCAAGGACAGAAACATCAGTCTGAAGGTTTAGTACCTTTTCATTTCTAAAGGGCTTCTCATTTTTAATAATAATGTATCTAGGCCTTTAAATATGCTGCTGCCCCAGTATTATAGCACCCTGTAGCAAAACAAAATACAACAATAATAGCAATAGCAATCAAGGGATGAAAATCATGCAGGTGTGGAAAATAACAGCGCAGGATGTGTTTCCTGTAGTGTTCTCTGTGCCCCTCAAATATACACTCACCGAGTCTTCAATTACACACTTTATCAACAGATTCGGAGACTGCTGGGTTTGCTCGGTGTTTAACCCTTAGCCATTGATCCTCTTGCGCAGGGTAACGTGCTTTTGCCATTCAGAATTTACAGCGCACATTTTTTTTCTTTTGGTAAATCTATTGGGGGGGGAGGGGAGAATGAAAAAAATAAAGAAATAAAGAGGAAAAAACCTTGTGTTTTCGCCATGAAACGTGTGTACTTTTGCCCTTTTAATAATACATATGTTCTCCCTAATTTTCAATTACTTCCTTGATTTTCTCTTTCAAATTGACGAAGCGTTTGCTTTTCTATCGCATGGGCTCACCTTTATGGTCTGTTTAGCGCTGCAGCTACCTCCTGCATACCAATGTGGGGCTGCAAAAGGCACCACCACATCCGTCTTACTTTCCTTCCAGCCTTTTCCCTGCTACCATCAACCAGACGCATTTTTTAAAAGGAGTTCTCGCAGCAAAGATAAAGACATGGATCTTTATAGTTCGGTACTATTGTATATATCTACAGTGCCCCACGATCAGACAGAAACGATGGACCTAGCAAGACCAGGCTAAGCGGAAAGACCCCGTGAAATAAAAATGTTCTCGGAATAAAAATGACAGAAAACATTGTCCGCACAAGTTTGGGAAAAACCAAAGGGACCATTTATTTTTGGTGACTGTATTCACCCATGAAAAAGCTGTGGAAGGCAGTCCCGGCAATCTGACATTGCAGTACTTTCTGAGATCAGAAGTGCAGCGGGAAGGTTTTGTTGTACAATCATTGCTTAATTAAGCACAAGAAGTTCTTTCTTCTCTCCTTACCTCCCCCCGCCCCCTCCCCCCTCCCCGGCACGCATTTGTACACAAGATCTGTGGAGACTCACCGGGTCACCCTGATCTCTGAAGGTCAATCTCAGGTTGTGCCTCGACTGTGGTTCTCTCCCCTGGGCTCTTTTGGCTGGCTTCGATTTTGGTTTGGCTTGTGTGTGTCTGTCACTTGTTATGTTAAGCCGTTGCCCAGCATCCCAGCTCAGATTCCGTGGTCGCAATCCACATCTCGGCAGATATACCAGAGAATCACATAGAGGATCAGGAGGATGGCAAAGATGAACAAAGCTACCAGAATAGCCTTGGTCACAGGAGAAATGAGGGACTGCATGTCACCCAGCAGGAGCCGCAGCCAAAGGAGAGGAGCGGGGTTAGTAATTGCAACGATCCTGATGGTCTCCGGCAGAAGCCCCCTACCCACCCTCCCTCCCACCCTGCCAGGCAAGCAGTAGCCCCCACTAAAACCGGTGGTGCCTCTGCATTGGTTCGTGCCCAGTCGACAGCGCTTTAGCAACGGGCTTCTTCTTCTTCTTCTTCGAGTGTGTGCGAGTGTGGCAAGGGAGACGCTCACTCCACGGGGCACGGTGCGGCGCTCACATGCCCCCGCTGCGGCTCTCCGGCAGGGAAGATCAGCGCTCCGCTGGGAAGAAGAGGGGCCAGAGCGGGCGAGTGGAGCGAAGCTGATAATCCGGCCATGGGCGCCGCCGGGGCTCCAGCGGCACTCGCCTCTTTCTTCAAGCCCGCGCCGTGGGGGAGGCGGGAGCGGCAGACCCGGGGCGTTCAAACTTCGGCGCGGAGACAGCCCGGAGGGGGCGGGGGTGAAAAAGCCGGCTCCCGGGAAGGTCTCCGATGAAAGCCATCAAAGGGCAGTGTGGGGAGAGAGGGGGGTGGGGGTGCAAGTGGCGGGAGCCCTGCCTGCCTGCCTGCCTGGCGGGAGCACGGTTCTGTCCCCTGGTGCTGTGTGTGTGAGAGCCGGAGCTCGCGGGGGGGGCGGGGGGGTGTCTGCAGCGCCGGCCGCGGGGCTGCTGCAGACTGGGAAGCCGGCTGATTAGTATTCCGCCCAGCAGAGCCTTCCCGCCCCTCGCTGCATCTCCCCTCGCTCCCTCCCCCTGCTCTCCTTCACGCCCCGTCCTCCCCTCGCCTCGGCGGCGCCCCTTCTCCCCCAGCCCCCGCGCAGCGGGGAAACCTCGGCCGCTGCCGTGACTATAGTGAGCGGGGGGCGTGCAATGGGATCCCCCCCCTCCACCACCACCACCACCACCTTTAATTGACGTCCCCGCCGCCTTTATGCTTCCTGGGCGACCCGCTGCTGTGACTAGGAGCGGAGAGGCTGGCGGAGGGTTGCCCCCGCCGCTTGCCACCGAACAGGGCAAAGAAGGGAAGGAGAGCTGGGTGTCCCCCCGCCCGCCAGGGCTCGCACCCCGCCCGAGGGTGCCGCTGTGGCCGGGAGGGGTCGTGACGAAGACCCCGCGCGGCAGCCGCAGCCGTGATTGGGCGGGAAGCTGAACATCAGGTGAGGCGGACCCTCTTCGCCGCACTGTTCTGAGCCCGCATACAATGACCCCGGCTTTGAGGGGAGGGATGGAATTGGGGTGTGAGGCGAGGGGCATCCCCCAGAGGCAGGTGCTGCTCACCGGCTGAACTGAGACAAGGGGTCCATGTGGTTCCCTGTGGCGATGCGGCGGGACTGGGGCTCTTGGGTGATTTACTAGGGGCCCTCCAGAAAAAGCCTCCACCAAAACGAGGAGCAGACAGCCATGCCCTGCCTCGGCCAGCCATGCCCTGCCTCGGCCAGCCATGCCCTGCCTCGGCCAGCCATGCCCTGCCTCGGCCAGCCATGCCCTGCCTCGGCCAGCCCGCTGACCAGCGAAGGGTGAGGCACGCTACCCGCGCGCACTGGTTTCGGATTCAGCGTCCATGCAGGAAGGCGGTTGCCCTCTGTGGCCAGCCAGCGAGGTCAGAACCCGAGAGATCCTCCCCGGAAGGGGTGAGCAGTTGTCCAGTTCTGTCCACCACAGGTATTAGAAAAATCCTGCCGAAGGGGGGTGGGGGGCAGTCACAGAAGAGCAACCCAAGTTATGAAGGGGGAGAAGGAAAGCTTAAAAGCCAAATGTGTGTAATTTGGATAAAGGAAAAACTGGGGAGACAGACGTCAGAATACTCTACAAATATTTGATGGGTGCAAACATCAAGGTGCTGGAGGCGTTACCTAATGTGATGCCTGGGGGGACACAGAAGAGCAATGGGACATAACAAAGGGGAGTTTTAGACTGTATGAACGAAAACCGCCCTGATAGTGAAATGTCTAATGGCTGTGGAATAATCTCCCCAGGGAAGTGCTGGATACTCCCATTGCTTGGAATTTTTTAAACTTTTCTGTTTTTATCTAGGAAGGATGGTTTTGTGAGTGAGGAATCTGATGGAGACTCAGGCCATCTGGGAATACCCACAATTCCTGCCTCTGCCATATAGTTCCTCTGTCACCTGGGGAAAGTCACTTAATTTGTCTGTGCCTCAGTTCCCCACCTGCAACATGTGGATGACAATACTTCCTTTCTCCCATTCTCAGTCTTGTCTCTTCAGAGTGTAAACTTTTCAGGGTAGAGATTGTACGTTCATAGAGTTCTTTGCAAAATGAACTGCTTGGCACCTCCAGGTGCGATTGTGTTACAAATAATAAATGTGTTCATGAAATCCAGCATAGAGTCCATGCTCACCATGACTCATTACTTTATCACAGATAAGTCTGGTAGTAGATGCTATTTCAAAAGCAGGTATATTCTAGAGATTTAGGACATATTGCTATTAATACCAACAAAGCATCTTTAAAACTCATCTTGGCCTTGTAATAGTTTGTTTAGTGGAAGTTGTAACTATAAGAAGAAAAGTAGTTGTTCCACAGAATGGCTGCTTTTCACAGTCTGGCATTTAGCACTTATTCTATGTTGTCCTTAGAGAAGCCTTTTTTAACTTGACAGCACTCCAGCAAGTAATACCAAACTTAGCAGCATTAGACATAGTAGTAACAAGAAAGTTTGTTTAATACTACAGAACTTGTCAGAGGGGGAACCAGAGTAGTGCATGTAGTTTTAAAAGGGACACCATCACTCTGTTTATCCTCCAAATGTAACTTGAACAGTCTGGGAAGGAATAGCTTTTGAATTCTACATATATAATTCACATTTACATATATATTAGAGCATGACTGAGAAATTAAAAATATAGCTTGTCTGTGTTTTATGTGATGTCATTGGTGGAGAGTGAGCAAACAGAGAAAGCACAAGTTGACTAACAAACCTGTTACCCAAACTATCCTGATCTATGTTAACAAAGCTGGCTTACAAATAAGGAAGTAAACAGAAAAGTCATCTCAGTTTTAAGATCCCTTATAAGTAAAAGAGAGTGGAAAGGGAAATAAATATTTGCTAATTAGAAAAAGTCAACATTGATAGGAAAAGACATTTTAATTTTCATCTTGTAAGATGATGATAAATTAAAGGAGAGTAGTGATGTAAACTATTGATCATTCTCCTTTTAATTTTCTCTTTTGTTATCTTTGAGAATGAGACTGAGCTACAGCAAATACAAGTTTATCATGAATTGATACATACAAAAATTTGTGCATAAATCACAAATGATGCGGTAGTGTGGATAGCATTAGATGTGCTGAAATTAAATCCAAACCCAATGTGCTTACACAAGACAACCATTTGACATAGGCGCCTTCAAATATCTCTTGATGTCACAGTGAGTCTGAGCCAAAACAAAACAATCCAAACTCTGTTCCTGCCATGCTCTATCTCTACTACGCTTCTTATCCAATGTCCTAAGATGTAAATGGCATCAGTTACAAAAAAAAAAAAAAATTCTTGAGTGCGTGATAAAGCCAGTGGATCTTATACAATCCCAGGTTTTGCTGGTCTATGTCATCACAATAAAGGATATATTCAGGTGGAAAGTACCTCCAAAGCACACACAACCCCCTCTCTGCTGGGCGGCCTGAAGTCAGCACACCCTCAGAATTGGGCTGTGCTGTGTGATGAAAGGTGTGGCCAATGTCTGCAGTCATTGTTTTAAAATAACATTCAAAGCCTGATTCCTCTGTTGCTTACAGCTTCTACACATGCATAACGCCAGTGACATCAGTGAAATTACCCCTGAGTGTAAATGAGAGGAAGATCAGGTCCAGGGAATCAAACAATAACTGATCAAGTCCAATTTGCTTTGTTTACAGGCTCCCCACATATCTAGTATCCACCACAGTTATTTTCTGTTTTCATTGGTTTCTATGGCATTGTGTGGAGAAGAAATATAATAGATATGTTCTATTAAAATGGTTTTGAGACTAACAGAACTCCACATAGGGTGTTATCACTTGTGTATTATAATCATTTCTAAGGTGCTCAGTGTACATGTCAGATGTTCCTATATTTCTTTTCATAACAACAATAAGACTAAGAGTAAAATCCTGGCCTTGTTGAAGTCAGTGGGAATTTTACCATTGACCTCATCAGACCCAGGATTTTACCCTATAATGCGGTAATGCACAGTAAACTCAGGAAAAAGTGAAATATTGTCTTGAAGATAATCCAATAAAAGGTATAAATAACTGAATATGAAAAGGAAACAATGGGAAAGAAGATAGCTTAAAGCATTGGTAATGGGATCTGGAACCTTTGACCACCACCCCATTGGGTAAAACCCATCCCAAACCCATAGTGACCAAAAGATGCTAGTGTTACTGCCAGGTGTCTGAGTTAGCAGTTTTGGGCATTTTCCCAATGGACATGCGTCCACATCATAAACACACTAAAACACTAGTGGCAATAACAAACAACCTTACTGACAGTTTACATAAAAAGGTCAAAGATTGGATGAGTTGGTAGATTTTAGAGGGACTGAGAAATATTGGCAAAGCACTGTGTTGCTGTCTATGCCTTATCTGTCAATTAAAAGAACAATTAGTCTTCTCAGATACTATAATAATGGATATAAAAACCTGGAAAAACATTACAAAAATCTGGCACCTTTCATGAGCATCAGTTCATTAAACAAAACCACCCTTCAAAAAACCTCATACCTTCCCCTATATCTGTCTTTTTAAGAGGGATATGGGAAAGAAAGTTATCAATGATGTTGTCAAAATAAAAGTGGAGCTCCATAATGGACCAATATGTTATTTATTAATGAACTAAAGGAGAAGGTAAACTTGAAATTGCAAAAATGTATGGATGACACAAAACAAGGAGGTATGGCAAACAAAAAGATAGCACAGCTCTTAATTATAGAGATTACTTGAGGGGTGAAGTTTAAAGAAGTGTAAGATAATACAATTAGGAAAGATTTATCCACAGGGCCTGGAAAACATGAATTAAATTTAGCAAAGTTTGGCTAAGAAAAGAGGAGGAGTGATGTTCCAAGTTTATTTAAATGCTTTGGACTTCATACTTTTTGGCACAATGAATCAGAGGAGAGAGCAAAATTGCTTGAGTTAGGATGGAGATAGAAGTCCATCTGACAGGCTCTTTACACATCCAACTCTTCATCACCATTAGATTTCAAAAAGGAATTATTGTTAGTCTCTTCTATCTCCTATTTGGCACAATTTTCAGAATGTGACAACTCTAAATAAGAGGAAAAAATTCTCTTGACTTTTAATATGCTAATCAGATTTTCCTCCTTTAGTGTAGGGAAAGGAAATCAAATCATCAGCTAATAAAGGTCCATTATTCATTTTTCAGTGACATGGGGGATTGTTTGTTTATTTGTTTTAAGACAAAGAGCTTCTCACATGGAAGGAACCAAATTATAAATACACCCTAGATACAGACTCCTGAGTATCAGTACTTCCTGCTGTTGGTACTTATGTTTATGAATTTTTGATCTACACTGAGCACTAGAGATTAGTTGCCTAGACTACTCTTTTGGACAGAAAAATCTCTGTTGGAAGTAAACATCAGGGCTGAGTTGGTTTCTAAACTTTTTGGAGCCTGGTGGCGTACACAGGTGATAAATACAAGAAAGGAGTGGAAGGAAAAAATGGTCATGGACCTGAATGCAGAAGATAATCCTCAAAGGAAGGCAGATTCTTACAAAATTGTACATTACTGGTTAGGATCCTGCATAGCACAGTTCAGTTCCTTCTTTTCTACAGGAAGTATAATCTGGGTTTTCCAATCCAATGCTGGAAGGGATGTGAGTGAGAAGGGTTCTCTTTTTTATGTGTTGGGAATGTCCCCAGCACAGCATTTGAGATCAGATTTTGGATATTGTGGACACCAACGTAAGCCCAATTCAACTGAAGGTATATTTTTTTCCCTTCAGACACCAATCAAGTAATAGATCTTTAGGGCTAACAGCTCGACTCACACACATATCTAGATAAACAACTGTGCTCTGATGAAAACTGGAATCTACAATCAAGCTGTCATTTAAATATTTGAAAAAAATTACTGCTAATGTACAAGGGAACATTCAAGGTGAAATGGTCCATTAATACCTCCCCAGTTGTGTAGTGAGGAGGGGAGAAACACTATTGCTATTGGGGCATTTGATGAGGTACAGCACACCATATGTTGTGATAGGCATGTTTGGATCCTGAAAGATGTGTTTTGGAGGAATGGGGTGTTGATCATCATAGCAATGGTGATATGTCTACAGGTTTTGCAGCTGTTGTGCTGCTTTGTGTTGGTGTGTCCTGGTCTGCGGGGAGGTTGTTTCTGATGATGAGCTTGGTGAGTTGTTGGAAGACCAGAAGAGGGGGTTCAGGAAAGATTTATTTCAGAATGTGGTCCCCATCAACTTTGGGTTGTAATTGTTTGATGATACCCCATATGGGTTACAGTGTGAGGTGGTAGCTGTCTACTAGGAGTGTGTGATTGGAGGGGGTTTTATTTCCGTATTGAAGCAGGTTATCTCGGTGTATGTGGCTGGCCTGTTACCTGATGTGTTCTACTTCTCCAGTGGAATGTCTTTGTTTGGTGAAGGCAGTTTTAAGTGTGTTAAGATGTATATCCAGGACTTTATCCTCGGAGCATATTCTGTTGTATCTGCATGCTTGGCTGTAGATAAAAGATTTCTTTGTGCGTCTGTGGTGGTTACTGGATCTGTGAAGGTAGGTGTGGCGATCCATGGATTTTTTGTATGTAGTTGTTTGTAAGGTTCCATTGCTGAAGCTGATTCTGGTGTCCAGGAAGATGCTAGTAGGGTAGTGTTCTAGAGAAATTTTAATGGTTTGGTGGTGGTTGTTGAAGTTCTGGTGGAAATCGATGAGGGAGTTTAAGTCATCTGTCCAGAGGATTAAAATATCGTAAATGTATCTCAGGTATACATTGATTTTGAGGTGCCTTTGTCTAGAAATTCTTCTTCGGGGTGGCCCATGAAGATGATGGCGTATTGGGGAGGCATCTGAGTACCCATAGCTGTTCCCATGGTTTGGACAAAGCGTGTGTTGTTGAATGTAAAATTGTTATGGGTAAGGATGAAGTGGATGTGTTTGGGGATGGGGGCGGGTGGATATCTGAGTGTTGTCCATTGTCTTGTAAATATTTGAGGCAGGCAGTGATGCTGTCATTGTGAGGGATGTTGGAATATAGGGAGGTGATATCTATGGTGGCAAGGATAGTGTTCTGAGGGAGGTTGTTAATTTGGCAGAGTTTCTGGAGGAAGTCAGTTGTGTCCTGAAGGAAGTTGGCTCTG